CGTCCCAGAAGTAAAGGGGCGAGGGGAGAAACAAAGCGCGGCCCCAGGAGGTGGGGGCCGGGCTCCAGCCCCGCCGGAGGCGACGCGCTGGCCGTCTTTCTCACAGTCCCGCCCGGAGACACGGAGCTCTGTGATCAGCCCGCCGCCGCCGCGCAGACACGCTCCCCCCGCGCTCCACTGCGCGCCCCAAAGCACGGATGAAAAATGGAAATGGGAAGCAGCGATCTCGACTCCCTACACTGGGAAACCAGCCGCTCTCTGAACACACATAAATCTTCATTGTAATCCCCATCCATTTGCTAGTGTAAAATATCAGGCCGGAGACAGGATGTGACAAGCGCTGGGAAGCGAAGGGAGGGGAAGCCTAAGAGTGAGGGGTGCACGGCCCTCACCGCTCCACCCTCTGGCAGGGTTCTCCTTGCTCGGGCAGAGGGCTTGCACTGAGGCTTGGTGCCAACTGCGGACAGCCGGGGTGCCACTGCGCCCTTTTCCCGCTCCAGGCCTGTGCGCCCTCGCCGCCCAGCTAGGAAGGGCAAGAACTCCCTTGGCCACCCGGAATTCCTGCTGCCCACCCCGCGGCTTGGGGCTAGGGGTGTAGAAAGGAGAGCAAACGGACGGACCCAGGGCCTAATCAGCCCTGCTGCAATGTGGGACCGTTTAGGAAGCTTCCCCTCTGCCTTCTTGCAGGATCACTTGTGAAAATTGTGAATATCCGTCCTGAGTAAGGATTTCAGAGACTGATGGGGCGAGCTTGAGGGAAGTATCAGATTTAGTGGGGGCGGAGAGAACCAAAGAAGACTGGAGCTTTGTTTACAAACAATTCTGGAGTGGAAGATGTGGGGGAGGTAGAGGAAGAAGCTCAGTAGTGATCCTATGGTTCCCTCCTCTGTGAGACCCAACCACCGCCAAGGAGAAGGTCCCCTTGCCTTTCAAAAGGCCAGTCTTATAGACTGTGTAAACCCCTGGTGTAACTGTCCCACTCCAGGAGCCCCAACACTAGCTCAAATCACAAGTCAGCTCCTTTCCCTCCGCGAACAGCGACCACCAGTGGCTTTAAACTGAAGGCCAAAGATTCCTTTGAGAATAAAGCTACACAGCTCCCTTCCCGCTACAATACAGACAGGTCCCTGGAATTCGACTTTGGGGTCCTGGGTCTTAGAAGCAGCTGAGTGAGCGATGACGTATCTCGTGTCCCTGGAGCTGGAGGACTGAGCTGTCCTGACACTAGCGGCCTCTCCAAGGGTCGTGACACGCCCAAAGCAGCCCTAAGGAAACCTCCCTGCTGCCAGATTTCCCTCCCCCACTCGGGATTTGCGGGCGAGCCGCCCCCCAGCCCAACACGCACACGCGCGCACACGCACACCAGGGCAGGCGGACATAGAGGCCTCACATCCCTCCAAGGCCCCCACCCCTGATCCTGCGGGAGTTTCCCTCTCCGGGACGGGTTTGGCAGTGATTGCCACATTACAAGACGTTACATTCCGCCCTGGGGCCTGGGGCTGGGGGAG